TGCCTTCCGGAGGATTGTAAGAAGCTTGGTTGTTGGCACGTAGCTTGCTTCGGATAGTGAAAAGTAACACTTCTAAGCCACCTTTTTCTTGGAACTTGGGTGGTTTTTCAATCGTGCGATAGGTGTTAAAACCAGCTAACTGATGCTGAACACCGGAGAGTGAATTCGCAAACGTCCGATTGTTCAACAACTCAATGGTTTTCTCGATCCAGTCTAACAAGTCACTCGTCAAAGTTTCGTACTGTGTGATCATATGATCGGTTTCAATAGCTTGGTTCACAACTTTACCAATCCGTTTGGAATGCACAGTATCTGCCTTCATTTTGTTGAAGTAGTGATAGTACGTTACCACGTATGTGATGATAGATTTTTCATCTGGCTGTTCCACGCATACATCAGAGGGTTCTAACAGTGGAGTCAAGTGTAGCTTCTCTTCAGCAACGTTAAATGCGTTCGATAGATTTTTTAGTGGTTCCGCCTTGGAAAGCGATGCATAGTCAATAAGGTCTGGTCGGTGTTTGTGAATAAGAGCGTTAAACGCCAAACCATCACGCCAGCTTGTGGTAAAGTTTCGAACGTTTACATTGTGATAACCAGCCGTTTTCATCTGACACCACAACAGTAGGGCATCTTTTGCACATCGTGTTTCACTTGTCTGATACTCTTCAACAATAATGTCTTGGATCTGGAACCGAAGAATAATTGTCCAAATCAGACCCAGGGTTAGACGAGGACTGCCATCTACGATGTCATGGGCACCAACGTTTTCTAAATGCACATGCTGGTCACAAAGGAAATTTAGTGATTTGTCCACATTTTCCAAACAATGAATTCGCATTTTGCCGCGAGTGGGTCGTGGAAGTCGCTCACCGGATAGGATTTCTAGTAATTTAAGGAGCATCTTCCCGTCGCGCAAATCCATGTACAAATCTTCGATGCTGCACGAGACAACTGACAGATGAGAATTAACCCATTTGGTGAACGTTTTCTTTTGTACAACTTCTCGCTCGTCTAAAAGAAACAGTAAGTTGAGATAAAGCAAGCAAGATAAAACGAACCAGCTAGTGCTTTGATACGCGATCGCTCGTAGAGCTTGGCTGTGCTATTACCACTCTCAAAGTCATCTTCGTCAGATGTGTAGTTTAAAGGCGCAACGTTATTTGGTTCCCAATGTAAATTCTGATGAACCGCTTGAATCTCCATTGCTGAAATTCCAAATAAAAAGAAACGGAATTAAAATGAGGACCAATTGAGTGCATTGTGGGGAAAGATGTTTGGAATCGAAAAAAGCAGTGGATGATATTAGCAGTTCGTTAGAATGATCCGCTGAAATTTGGACGTGACGAGGCGAGGCGAAGAATGTAAGCGTTATATATCAGAAAGCGAGTTGAAATTCAATATAGAAAGCTTGGTTAAAGTTAATAAATTCTATTACATATGATTTTATTATTAGAATCCTATGGTGACAAGGACCAACTGTTCCATTACGGCAACTTACAATCCCGGGGCCGGATCTTGAGGAGAGCCAGAAGAGAAAATAGTCCGGCAACAGCTGGTATCAGCTAAAGAAGTCAGTAAGCAGACGAAAGATTCTAAGCTTGGGCTTGAACCACCCAGTCACAACGCGACGCGAAAGCCCGGACTATTCAACCATTAACTCCGCACGCTCGTGCGTCTCTTTTGGCTACCGCTTTGGAGTAGATTGGAGGGAAGAATAAAAATGCTGGGATCAGGATAAATGTGGAGATAAAGAGATCAGGCAAAGGCTACTCCGACCCCGAGGTCATCATTCAGGAAACATATGAGTGGGTTCCCTGGTCAGGGTTTTCGTACCGTCAAGCTGTCTTAGTTTGATTACTTGTGCGTGTGTGCTGTACATAGCGTACAGGTGGTGGTGGCGCAGTGGTTTAGTCGCTGTCACCGGCGTGCTTTGAACCCTATGGTCCGAGGTTCGGGCCCCGTCACAACCACTCAACTTTGGTGGTAGGCAGCTTCGCTGTCGTCCGGTTCAGCACCACGCCCAGCCTACTGGGGCCTTATGTTGTTCGCCACACCAAGTTCCGGGGATTAGGTTACGTTTCCATAACGGAGCAGCAGGTCTTCGTGACTATGTTTACCACACAAATGTGTATTAATGGTATTTTTTCATTTCGTCCACCAAGAACAAACTTCATTGAATCTATTGGTTTATTGCACCAAACAATATTGACATTTAGATAACTGCAAGCCAACAACTCACATCGCAACAAAATGTTACTTTCGTTATCGCGCTGACCTCAGTATTCAGCGGTTTCATAATCTCCTCATTCAAGAATATATAGTGAACCTTCTGTTGTCATAAATGAGATTTGACTTCACCTCGCTCCCCTTCGCACTCACGTATTCTTGACATTCAACGAGGGTCAGATCAAAAATCTACCGAACCAATTTGTATTACCGATTGGTAAACATTTATCATTGCAGCCAACACAGGTCCCTAAAATTTAATATTTTTTTGATTCACTGAAAACGGGGTTTTAGTCGATTGCACAAAGGGGATGAGGTTGAACGAGCAAAGGCTGAAGAATGACAGTTTAATTGTTGATTACGCTATTGAAATTAGTTTGTTGGTTGATAGTCAGCCGAAAAACTGGAAATCACAATTAGATGAATAAAAAAAGCACGCGATTTCACAGCTATTTAGTATCTGATTGCAAACCATAGTCTGAGAGCATGGATAAAAATTTTCCAGCTCAGTCATCTGTGAAACTGAATCCTTACGGCTTTGATGTAATAAATACCGGGTGGTAACGCCCAGTAGTATTGAATTTGGGATATTCAAGCAAGCATTCTGTCAAAACGATATGAAAAGTTTCTCGAAATTCAACACTACAAAACTAAAAGGAATCTAATGCCTCCAACGCTTAAAATTTCACTATGGCAACAATCAGTGAAGGGTTTTATATGACATTGTGTAGCTTCTTGGTTTCCGTGGGTACGCCTTACAATTTCCTAGAATCGTCCTTTGGAGAATACCTTTCAATCAACACAAGATGGACTAAATGAAGATGACAGTATTGAAACTTGCAGCTGACCATTCAAGATATAACGATTTGCTTATGTAGTCTCTAAACAAACCACATGTAAGAAGTATTGAAATCGGGAATATTCCACTACGTTATTGTCGCATATTTCCTATTCCATCTCACGCTAATGGTTGCCATTTCGCATTGATATGCTGTCAGATGAAGTTTTGAAACCATATAGCAATGATTTACCTAAATATAAACCACTAGCCACTCTTCTGGAGTTAGGTCACATTAAAATGATATTTTAAACCGATAACTATAAAACCGAAATTAGTTTAGAATTCAAACTGTTAAAAAAAGTAGTGAGCCAACTAGGGCTGGATGGGCGATGATTGTTTCAATTGGCGATAAACAAAGAGCGACACCAAAATCAAAATGACAGCTCTGAGACCCAGATCTATATTCGCCCCATGGACTTAAATGGAGGATTTTTAACCACGACATTGGCGTAACATAAAATTTGAGTAAAATGCAGTGTATGCAGTTTACGTGATCCTGCTACTTCTCTTAGAAATTACTACTAGCGTTGGCTTCAAAAGCATTACCGAAAAATTGGCTAAAAACGACTATGCTTATTGGGGGCAGATTATCGGCTGCCTTAACAGGGCCGTACAGAGAAGTTATTCATGAGGTTCCTCCGAATTTCTCAGTATGATTCGAGATAAGTGTCTGGGGTTGTGGCCAGTCATCCTTCCCTGGCACCTTGCAAAATACTCCTATACGACCAAGCGACTCAAATAGCCTCCGTCACACCAGTATGTGACGAACAGCAGACGAGGCGGACCCCATAGTCACGAAAACCTGCTGTTCAGAGATGGTTACGGGCAACCCAAGACCCGTGGCCTGGAGAGACGAAACACATACGGATCCGAAAGGCCATGCATAGTACTGTTGAGGAAGCCCGACTCACTTCCTTGCCGTGGAGATTTTTCCATCAATTTAGGAGGACGAAAAACCAACATCTGGGGCTACACCCGAGTTGGTGAACCACTACTAGTTCACCTTGGGGGGGGGTTCTAAAATTTCAGATTCCAAACCAGTGTACGAACCACACCCATTCATACCTTTCTGGTTGGGTATCGAGGTGCACCGAGCACCTTGAACTTTTGACTGCATCCATAAGGTGCATAACTTGATGAACTGGAAGAGCAGTTGGACATGACGGGCTTCCGCCAACACTTAACAAGGCAATTTAGTGTACTCCACTGCCGACTCTATACCTGGCAATAGGAATGTGTTTCATCATTCTGGGGTGAATCATTGACCGTTCTACATGTTAAGGGACCACGAGACGGCTGTGTACATACCCGTGGGATGTCAACCGTCACGCGTTGGTCTCCATCACGGATCGATGCGACCTCGTGAAGACACCAAGCCGGATTCCAAATTTTCAGTGGTCAATTGGTCAATATTTTTACATCCCTTTACAAACTATCGACCAACGAGAGGGTGCCAAGCATCCTGATTCGTCATTGCTCATCCTTATTTGACATTAATGACGAAATATTCCTGGAGATTTAGTCTCTGGGCTAATGATGTCCACGAATTCGTACGTCTAACGGACGAGGTAACGAACCAAAGCAGAACGACTGATATCAGGAAACCTCAACGACGGTTGTATTGTAATGAGCTGGAGAGTAGAGAGAGAAGCGTACAGTTAAGTAAGCGTACAGAAAGTAAAAGTCAACGTACCGTGACCAAAGAGGTAATCCTGGTCCGGTAAAACAACAAGGTCCGGAAGATGGAAAAGGTACGTGAGCGGAAAGGGTTGACACTGTCACTACAGAGATGCACAATGAAGTGACCTTCAAAGATTTCAGCCAGGTTCAGAGTATACCAACGGCGAGACAGCGGACGTGCTCAAGAGGGAGGCAAACTCTACAGGTAACTTTTACTGACAGTCTGATCTGCCAAAAGATGACAACGGCTGTTGTCGGTCTGCTGTATTGTCTATCTCCAATCAACCACTTAGATCCTTCGAACCCCAACTCGGAAGGAGATACATCTTGTCATATGGGTTCCCACACCGTGAAGAAATTGCGGGCAGTAAGCTGTGAAGTGAACGATTGCTGAGCATGACGAGTTCCAACCAGAAAAACGTTGAGTGCGTTCACAATGAACTAACCGCCTAGGCATTTCCGAACATGACTGCTTCTCTTATTACACTAAGTGAATACGGTAAAACTCAGGCGTCTATTGTGTACTGAACTCCAAGTTTATCAGCTTTGAAGAAAAAAACTAACTACACGGTACCACACCTAATTGAAATGTACCACCTCTTATCGCCAATGAACCAGAGCACTGATAACACTGAGTGCATGGAGCAGTTGTCCGACTAACTTTGGTTTAGATAAGGTTATCACTAACATAGACCACTGTATTCTCCAACCCTGGATTATGTGGATGTCCAAGTAGCATAACAAACACTTATTATAACACGAGGAATAAGACCAAACCTATTTGTTTGACAGTTATCTGATGAAACGAGAGCTGGCTTTGATAATTTAATAGACAGCTTGGCGCACCAGACTCCTTATTTGCTTTGAAATTATTTAGATAGTTATGGATTACGAGGGAAATAGAAATACGGACCAAAAAAATGATACACCAGCCAGAAAGAGCAAAGGTTTCTAAACTTTAGCAAGATAAACTGCGGCTACCTAAAGACGTGCGAGCTTCACGAAACCCCATGTGAGACATCACACGCAACAATAATATACGAAACAGACTAATGGCGAGCGATAAGCACGACGATCCAATTTTAGCGATATCATAGGAAACACATGATCGAATATCAACACGCCGAAAGAGGTGCAGAGTAGTTCCATTAGAAAATTTTAGATCAAGGCAATGGGCTCAATCAAACAGTATTTGCAGTACAGCGACATCATCTTATCACACGCCTGCTCTCGAAGGTAAATTATATGACAAAGCTTTTAATAGCCGAAACATCTATATCCTTGAAACCTCAATAAAGAACCAGTTTTGAAGTGACATCACGTTGGCTGTTGAGAACCTGGTCAATCTGGCTGAACCGCATGCGTGCTAACTAGTGAATTTGATCTTACAATTTAGGTGGGTGATCAATACCACATTGCCATACAGCCGAATTTCGCCGTGACAAACATTTCCAAA